TGTCCACCCCGAAGGCAAACTTCAGATTTGGTGGTGTCTACCCAGATGCAATCCCAGTCCAGGCCAGCAGCCTCCACCTGTTCCGGGGCAACCCTGCCCAAGGCCTCCCCTGCGACGTGCTCTGCCATCTCGAGCAAAGGTTCCTCATCCATTCCTCCCAGCTGGTCCTCCTCCTCCGCAATTGCATCATCCGCATGCTGCTGGGTGGGATGCAGAATGCTTGGGTCCAGGTCTGAAGACCGAGGGAATTCCTCCCCATCGAGGTACTGACGGACAAAAAGCGTGCGGTAACTCTCGCCCGCCTTCAAACCCAACTGATCCGGGTCCATGGACAGTCGGAGATGAACAGCCTTGGAGTTTGCTGTGGCCCTTTCCCCCTTGCTGAGCGCTGCCTTCCGGGCTGGATCAAGCAACAAGATCCGGTAAGGATTGCCTTTCCAGGCTTCGTACTTCGCACTTGCAGCTGCCGTGAGCCCCTTCGCCCCTCTGGCTGCAATCTGAGCCTGCCATTTCTGATGCTCCTTCACGTACTCCATGATTGCGAACTCCAAAGACGTGTTCACCCATTGCGGCAGAGGAATGCAATGGTCATCACTGTCGTGATGCCACCACACGTGCTTTTTGCCAGCCAATGCGTTCGCCACCTCCTGTGAGTCCAAGTCCTTCGCCGCTTCTGCAAGGTTGAGGCTCGGCAGCACGTCTAAGTTGATCAGCGCGGCCATAGATCCACGAGCGTGCTGCATGGCCTCCTCCGCTGCAGGCACATCACCGGCGAAATTCATCTTCGCGAGCTCTTCAATATCAACGTAACCCAGCTTTTGCCACGCCGACATGATAATGTTGCCGGACCGGTGTGTGCGCAAGGCTTGGAGCGCGTAAACATCTGATTGCAGGGATGTGATGAAGGGGCAGGTGCTGCAAATCTCACCCCGGAGGTCGAATTGCGCCTCCTGCAGCGTGCGACCGTAAGCTGGATTGCCGGACCCCACTGCCCTGCGCAACCAAGCTCGTCGCAGCAAGCGCCACGATTGGTGCCATTGATGATTGGGGGCCCCTGCAGCTCCGAACCCGCCGGGGATTTGGATGGGATGCGATTTGTCACAACCGAGGAGGATGCAGTTGTTCTCGCTTTCCCAAACCTTGCGGAGCTCAGCAAAATGCTGGTCGCTGTGGGCAGTGGCATCGTCGGCCAGAATCAACGCGCCATCCTCAAAGGCGAGACCATGTTGCTTGCGGCGGGCATCCAGTTCGCCCTTCAAGAACTTGAGGTACCTGATGGTTGTCTCGCCGCGCCACATGTGGGTGGTCGAGTGTGACCGCTCCACATGGGCGAATCCTCGCAACGACTTGGCTTCCTCGAGCTGGGCGTCCGAGACTTTGCTGTCCGCGACAGTGATGAAGAGGCGGCCCAACTCCCCATTGCGCCAACTGAGTGTGGTTGTCGTGCGCGGAATTCGCCAATTGGAAATGCATCCAATTTGGGAGTAACCATCGTCCTCCTTGAGTTTGTGGCGATCCTCCTCCGTTGCAGAAGCTTCCAGGCCCATTTCCGTGCGCAGCTTTCGAGTGAGCGCCGCCCGTCGGAAATGGCGACCAGGCTTGAGTTGCGGATCCCTTTGCTCGCCCTTCCGCTGCGGGTCCTTCCATATATGGCTCGTGCTGCAGGCTCGTACATGCACGTCCAGACTTGGTCGAAGTTTCCGACAAGGAGAGGATGCACTTTTCCGTCCCTAATTGCACCATAGACAAACTCCTTGACCGCAAGCACTTGTGGAGCATCCATCCGCAAGTGCTTGCCCGGCTTGGAGATCTTGTGGACGGAAAAGTCGAACTTGCGAAGGAACTTGTCCGCGTGCTTGTACAGGCTCGTGGGCGTTTTGGACAATGAAAGCTGGCAAAGCTGTGGCAAGTCCCGCGCGGCTGCAGCTTCGACGCGCCCACTTTGCAGCTGCTGCACCTCCTGGTTCCATATGTCAATGCACGTGCCAATAAGGTTTGCCACCGCGGGAACCGTGATCTCAGCACCCAGCTGTAGCTGCTGCAAAAGCACCTCCTCCACGATGCAAAGCACGCGGTCCGGCAGCTTGCCAGGCGTGCGTCCGGACCCCTTCTGTGGGACCTGCATAGCCGCCAGCGCCCACCGCGGTACCTGCTTGGCCCTTTTGGCCGTGCCCGCGAGATTGCTGCGTAGCTGCGACCAGTTTTGTTGGGTTCGTTGCTTGCGCCATTTCGAAAAGCATCCACTCCAAATGCCAGGGAACTTGCCTTTCTCCTGGAGCATAGTATTTTCAGGGTGCTTGATGCTATCATCCTTGCGGCGCTTCTCATACTCCTCCAGGTAGGACAGCTTCGTTGCTATGTCGAGCACCTTCCCCTTTCTGTTGCTCCCACGCCTTGACTTCTTGGGGAAAAGGCAGCGTCGCACAGGGTCTTCCGGATCCTCACCATCCTCGACGACCACAAATTGAGCAAACTTGCGTTTGCGGCCTGTGCTGCTGGTGGAAGATTTGGAAGCAGCACCCGTGCTTTTGCTGCCCACGTGAGAGGACGAAGGATTGGAAGTGCTGGGCGGACTGGCATCCGAAGAGTCCTCCTGCCCCTGTGGCCTAGCTTCCTTGCCCTCCGGCGGAGCGAGGGGAGCTCGTGGAATTGGTGCGGGCGCGCTCGCGCGCTCGCGCACCAGTCGCCAACTCGAGGCATGCACGAGCAAAGCTAGTAGGTTGGCTTGTAAGACCGTTGTGGAGAAAGCTTTCCCAGCGATGGCCAGGGCAAGGGACCTTTGCTGTGGAGGGTAAACCATGGAATTGAAAAACGATTTCAGCCACAGGCATTGAGC